TGCTGCAACAACTAGACATACCTTCATTGTCATTGAACCTCTTGTCAAGTAGTGTCTAAGGATCTTTAAGATGGAAAGGGCTTGCTATTACGCTGGGTAAATGCTTTTGCTTCAGTGAACTTTCACGATGCTGGCACGTTCCCAGTGTCTCGGGTGTGATTACAGCTGGGGCGGGCAGCTGACAGCTCCAAGCCTGCTGCCAGTTCAGCAAATGCTTGACCTGCTATGAAGAGCTGGAAACTCCCTCCATTTCGATAGGCTTCATATAGCAGCCCAGGAGACAGGGAGCTTTGATATCGTGCTTTGATACTCTTTTGGAGTCTGTTTCTCAGCAAAACCAAGACCTGTAGGCATTGTCAGACAAGATATTTTTCTAGAAGTGGTGCAAGTACTCCAACAGAAGGAGACTTTATTGCCCTTGAGTGCAGGCAGGGAAATCTGTGGCTGTGGGGCTCCAGAATGCAGCCCTTCCTATTGTTGTCCCCATTCAAGTCAAGACCTGCCATACAACATGGCTTAATTAATTTCTTATTGATATTACATACCATATTTCCATTTTTTTTATCAAATTTTGTAAATAATTCCAGAAGAGAAACAAATTCAAGAGACATAAACTTCCAGTGACACATCCAAGAGAGCCTTCCTTTTCCGAGGGCAAGAAGCCCCTGAAGAGAGCTGCTGCAGGGCAGGGCCAGATGGTGGAGAGGACCATGACAGATATGGAGAGAGGGTGACTCAATCCCTCTGGGAACCAGTGGGATTTTGGTCATGGTTTTCTTTGAACACATAGCCTACAATACATTGCCAGCCCTGACTTCTGCATGTCTTTACTGGTGTAACAGTGTAGGGGATGAGTGGGTGCAGCTGGGACTCTCCAAAGTAATTGCAAGTCTTCAAACACCTTTTCTTCTTCCCTGTAATTTTTTTAAAAGCAGAAGAGTAGGATTCCTTGGGGCTCATAGTAAGGAGATGATAAAAGTGAGGCTGAAGGCCTTTAGCTCCAGCGGATCATTAATAGTCTGTTAAATACTCTTCTGCAAAGTCAGCAGTGCTGCTCCTCATAGAGCACAGTCTGCAAAAATACAGGACGTTTTATGTAGGAGCACCCAAATGACTTGCCAGGTGCTTCAAAGGCAAGCAGTGAGTCTCCCCTGGTTAGATAGAATGCAAAAATAGAGGAGTAGGAGGGAAGAGGTACAAGACAACAGAGGATGTGGTCACCTGGAAACTTCTCATGCACTGCACATCTGGTGTTTCTGTACCAGCTTTTACTGAAAAATAAAACGTGGTATTCTGGGAGGGCAGATGCTACTGACTCACCTGCTGCAGATAATAGTGGAAGATATTATCTCATGATGGACTGACAAGTACCATCTGATGAATAATCTTTCTAATTTTCCTTCAAGAAGTTAATTCCTCTGAGTAAATGAAAACATTTATTTTCATCTTAGATCACGAGGAATGTGTATTTTCCTGGATCTTTAATTTAAGTTCTTCTTTGAATTATATTTGAAAGGAAAAGTGGAATCCAGCACTGTTCGTAGCAAGGTGGATCCCACCTTGCCCTCTTCCTGGGGATCTAGATGCTGCCCTAGTGGTACCCATGGAAGCAGCAAACATTTTTTTGGGGGGGGGGGGGGGGGGGGGGGGGGGGGGGGGGTGGCATATTATGCATGCATGCATTGTTGTTCCCCACTGTCTCTTTCCAAGTTTCATCTCTGAGTGAAGAGCAAAGTGGGAGATGCTGTCTCTTATGTTAAACATTGAACTTATCTCAGCAAATCCTGGATATATTGATATTGTTATTGTGGCAATTTGACCTTGGATGGCTGCCAGAAACCCACCCAGCCGCTCACTCTCTACCTCTCCTCAACAGGACAGGGAAGGAAATAAGATTAAAAAGCTCATGGCTAGAGATAAAGACAAGGACATCACATACCAATTGCTGTCACAGGCAAAACAGGCTCAACTTGGTGAAAAGTATTTAATATATTTCAAATTAAAATAGAGCTGAGTGGTGAGAAACAAAGACAAAAACCTAAAACTGCTTTCCCCCCCCCCCCCCCCTTTTTTTCTCAGGCTCAAGTTCACTTATTCCTTCCCAACTCCTCTACCTCCTCCATCCCACCTCCCCATCGAGCGGCACAGGGGGGATGGGGAATGGGTGTTGCAGTCAGTCCATAATAGTTCCTCTCTGCCATTTCTTCCTTCTCAGATGTTTCCCTGCTCCAGCGTGGGTCTTTGCCATGGGCTGCAGTCCTTCAGGATAAGTCTGCTCCTGAGTGGGCTTCTCTCCAGGGGCCACAGCTTCTGCCCGGCCCCTGCTCCTGCAAGGGCTCTCCACAGGCTGCAGCTTTCTTCAGGGCATGTCCAGCTGCTCCAGCTGTGGGGTCTTTCATGGGCTGCAGTGTGGAATCTGCTCCACAGCAGTCCTCTCCACAAGCTGCAGGGAAATACCTGCTTCGCCACGGTCTTCTCCAGGGGCCGTGGGGAACATCTCCTCCCCCTCCTTCTTCTCTGACCCTGGTGCTAGTGGGGCTGTTCCTCACCATTTTTCCTCACTGTGGGGCAATGTTTTGCCCTTTCTTAAATGCCTTTTCGCAGAGGTGCCTCCAGCGTGGCTGACAGGCCAGGCTGTGCCTGTGGTGGGTCTGTTGGTGTCAGTTGGAGCCAGATAGAACTGGCTGTGCCTCGTACTGGGCAGCCCCGACCTGTCCTGATGCAGGCTGCCCCTGCAGCCTCCAGCACCTTGCCACAGACACCCAGTACAGTGATGCAGCTTGTCTCCCTGAGCCCATTTCTTACTAAAAGAACAAAAGCCGAATCTCTTTTTTCCTTTTTTTTTTCTTTTTTTTTTTTTTTTCCCCTCCTGAAGGGGTTTGTCCAGCCACAGCATGAGGTGCACAGCTGGCTCTTTCCTGGCACTGAGCATTTCTGATTTGGGGGACATGATGAGGCCGTGTTTGTCAGCTTTCCCACCCACTCATTTCTGTAATTAGCAGACCTCTTATGCTGTGTTTTAGACATTAAAAGTGTTTGTAGCTGGCGGCACTTCATCTTCAATACCTACAAAAGGTTTTTAACTTTTTTTTTTTTTAAATGAGAGGTTATGTAACTCCCCTGGACACCTCATTCTTCAATGCAGGAATTGCTTCCATTCAGCCAGATTTGTGAGTTGAAACGTTCTCCATATAATACATTTCAGAATAGAGAATAAAGGGTTCCCATTAAAAAGCACTTGAACAGCATTTCTCTACAAATAATAGGAATAATTTCCTCTTCAAGGTTAGTGTTTCTACAATTGAAACTTTTAAACAAATAGCTGAGGAAAGAAAAAAATTTCTACAAGCAGTGCTACCCGAACCAACTGGGTGAGGACGTCTCTGAGACCACTTCAAGGGTAACTTCAGAAGTATGATGCAAACAGGCTGAGGTGGACACACATGCTGTAAGATCCCCTGGCACCTGGTAGAGGTATCCTCATGCACAACTGCCGAGGAGACTTGGCCAGGCTGGGCCAGATTTGCTGATGTGACTTTATTGAAGTCTGCAATGTTTTGTCAGCAGATAATTCAGCACATAATCTTAAATGTTTGTTACACGGGTGAAAAATCTGTGTAGTGTGGATATAAAATAATGATCTGATGTGTACAGCAGTGTAAAGGTGACAAATGTTTCAGGTTTCTCTGTTCCTGTGTACAGTACACTGTTTTGTTTGAATTTTTAATGTGGTTTATTATTTGAACAAAAGACCAGTATTTGTAGAAGCCCATGTATACTGCAGATATGTGCTTTAAATGGAGACTTATATGCAAGCAGCCTTAAAGACACAGCAAAACTGAAAGCTGTTTTGTCAGAGCCAAAAGGTATATTCTTCCTTTATCAGAAAAGAGGATTTTCTTTTCCCACCTGCACTTTATTCCTAGAATATTTTCAGTAAGAAAGACAAAAAAAAATATCTTTCTTTTACTTGCACCCATTTAAGAAGCCTACATCTTAAAAATACTGGAGACTTGGACATGACAATTATTAAAATAATGTTATAATTTTCCTGCAGACAATAACTAAATAGCAATGTATTGTCTCTTTTTAAAATAATGGAAATAAAAATCATAGTCCTTTTCTGAAATTCTATGTTTTTCTTGCCACTATCTCCACTCATTTTTTCAAACAAAATGTTCATCCTTCTGCAAATGTTCAAGACCAGATGTGCAGTAATCTTTTGCTCCTGTCTTTCCGCTCAATAAAGAAGACACTCCAACTTTGCCTTTTTCAAACGTTAAGAAAAGATTGATTGCCTTATATCTACAAGGAGCCTAGGATGTCACTATTCCCTAGATGGCAAATGCAGGAGTAAACCAACCCCATTGGAGGTTTTGAAAGAGGTCAATATAAAATGGAAACCTTGGCAACCTAATATTCATTATGAGTATATGACTGAAGTGGATAAGAGAGTTAAGGCAGAAATTTTTTTGTTGTTTTTCATCTTATTATTCAAATGTCTGAGTGTGGTCTGAGGGACTGTTTGTGGGAAATCCCTCGTGGGTAGGAGAATTTATCGCCTTTCACCACTGATTCCTACTATTCCCCTTCACTCTCACAGCCAGCAATTCCCAGGTGTTAAGGTGAGCGTGTAGAGTGGCTCCTGTAGCAGCTACAAAGCCAAAAATAATTCATCCACCCTGATATTTAGAAATTCCTTGGTTTCTTTATGAGCCTTGCAGCCAGATACCTTTATGTACTAGACCAAAAGCAGGTGTTAAGTTCCTGTTGGAGGCAGACTTCAACAGCTGCCAAGACTCAACATTTAAGTAAGTTGCTGGGAATTCTTTATTTCTACATGACCATTTGTATTGGAGAAAGTCCATGTAACTTAGCCTATATTTCAATAAGAGTATGTCTTTGTAGGTTATAATTGCTGATACAAGCTGAGTCTGTATACCACACTTCACATATATTTTTTACGGACTTATGATTAGAGCAGTTTTGGTGTCCTGCAGGTTCCAGCTTTGGAAATGAAGAGCAAAATACTCCTAAGGCATCTGCACCTTCTAAAGATATCCCCAAGGGGAGCAGCAAGAGCACGACACAGGTATCGAGCAGCACAGCGACTCCACGCAAGAGCTTACTTCCAGCACCAAAAACTGCCACAGCACCTGCTGGTAAGTGCTCAAAACTGGAAAGACCACCTGCATTAGGCCAAGAAATTCAGAAACCTTATTATGATGCTATTTTACTGCTTACTCAATTAATTTTTATGCCATTCTTGGCCACACTGCCAATGTGCTGATTTGTATTCTCTTTGCTGTAGTCTCTTTGAAACGCAGTCAACAACACAGCTCAAATCTCATTTTATGAACTATGTCTGGAGTTGAAGGTATTTAGTGTCCCTAACTACACATGCCAGAGATTTAATGTATATGTTATTGGCTCTCACCGAACAGCTGTTTGAAAACATTGCATTGTTTTAGAGACAAAAGCATTCCATTGAGCAAGTAATTCATTGCTAGGCATGCTCCCAAGGATGAGAATACTGCCCTCTAAGCTTAAGCAATTTTTGGTGTTTTCACTCAGAAAGGGAGAAGGAGGCAGGTAAATAAATAAAAAAAAAAAAAAAAAACAAAACCCTAGTCTTGTTTCCAAATTGTTTCCTTACCTAAGCCATCCTTTATCTCGATCTAGTTATGTCTCAAAGCAGCCAGCAATAATTTGTAGTGTCTCACAACAGGAAAGTTTACAGTTTTCTGTCAAATGCACTTTTTGTTGAAAAACATGTGCATCTTCACCTTCTTCTGCTCACACTTGTTTCATGCTGCCCCTTCTGCAGCCTGGCACTTGGAGATGGTGTAGGAACTTCAGGTTCCTCTTGGCAAGGATGTAGGAGTGTATCTTCTTGGGTAGAACTCACCACTTTTGAGAGAGTAAGGAGCAGTTCATGCTGCCTGCCCTTGAGATCTGCTAACACTGGCCCATCTGCCTGCCCACTGAGTGGGGAGAGGTGAGGGTACCATGACAATGAACATCTATTACACTCTGAGTGCTGGCAATGTAGAAACTCAAGTATGGGTGTAGTGAATGTTGTAGGGCTGTTCATTGTGACTTGCAAGCAGGGTCAATATGATTATTGTTCATAAATATAAAATAAGTTTAAAAGCATGGCTGTAGACACCCTCTCCCCTGGTTACAGATGACATCTCCTCACCCCAGGCGACTTCAATCACTTTCCTACCCAGTAGTGGACAATGTTCCCCTACCCTGTTCTAGCTCCTCTTTGTTCCATTGCCTTTCTCTCTAATGCAGCCCCAGCACTTACCTTTCTGCACTGCCATGACCCCTGGACATCCATTGGCCAAGATCTCAGAGTTCCATGAGGAGCTTCATGAAAGACACAGAAGTTCCTCAGGGCCCAAGAGATACTCCTCTAACCGTGGCAAGCTCTCGCACACCAAAGTCTCTGTGCATCTCTATGCTCATTCTTGCTTCCTCATGCCCCAGGAGATCCTCCAAGCCTCTCAAGGGAAAGGAACATCAGTGACCATTTAAAAACAACAGTAATTTTTAAAACCATTATTGGAGGAACGTACTGGTGAGAAGCCTGTGCCTGAACTGGTCATTCCATGTGTCCACTGAGGTCACTAATGAATCTTCTAACATGGAAAGGCAGGACTAGACATTAGACTTTTTCCACTCATCATTTTTCTTTAGAGAGACAGTTTGGATAGGACACTTCATGGTCTAGAGTGAAGAGTTGTATATGTCCGTACAGATTTGTAAGGATTAAAGAATGGGAGAGCTTCAGTAAATGTATAGAAATTCCACTAAATTCAGATTAGATCTAACAGTTCAGATTCCAAAAGAAAGAATTTTGCATAAGTCACCAGCCTTATCCAGTGTGGCTCTTCTTCAACAGAGTGTTTCATCTCTCTGTAAGTCCCTCAGAGTTTGATAACACACACTGCAAATGAAGCTGGGGGGGAAATATCAGTACAAAATATGGGACAAAGACTTGATGCATTACTAGTTCTGGTCATCCAGTTTCAAGTTAGATTAACCTGGTGTGGTGGGTTGACCTTGGCTGGACACCAGGTGCCCATCAAGCTGCTCTATCACTCCCCCTCCTCAACTGTACAGGGGGAGAAAAATATGACAAAAGGCTCATGGTTTGAGATAAGGACAGGGAGAGATCGCTCACAAATTCCCATCATGGCCAAAACAGACTTGACTCAGGGAAATTAATTTAATTTATTGCCAATCAAATTGTAGTAAGGTATTGAGAAACAAAACTAAATCTTAAATTACCTTCTCCCTATCCCTCCCTTTTCCCCGGGCTCAACTTCATTCCCAATTTCTCTACCTCCTCCTCCCAAGTGGCACTGGGGGGGTGGGGAATGGGGGTTGTGGTCAGTTTATCACACATCTTTGCCAATCCTTCCTCCTCACTCTCTTCCCCTGCTACGGCTTGGGGTCCCTCCCACGATAGACAGTCCTCCATGAACTTCTCAAATATGAGTCCTTCCCATCAGTCACAAGACCTGACAGCAAACCTGCTCCAGCATGGGCTCCTCTCCCCATGGGTCCACAGGTCCTGTCATGACCCTGCTCCAGCGCAGGCTTCCCACGGGCTCACAGCTTCCTTCAGGGATCCACCTGCTCTGGCGTGGGGTCTTCCACGGGCTGCAGGTGGAGATCTGCTCCCCTGTAGACCCCCATGGGCTGCAGGGGCACAGCCTGACTCACCATGGTCTTCACCACAGGCTGGAGGGGAATCTCTGCTCCAGTGTTACTTTTCTCACATACTCTCACTCCTCTCTCCCAGATGCTGCTGCTTACTGACCTTAGTGTCTGCAGAGTTGTTTCTCTCACATATTCTCACTCCTCTCTTCTGACTGATGCTGATCTTGTGCAGGTTTTTTTCTCCCTTCTTGAATATGTTATCACAGAGGCGCTACCATTGTTGCTGATGGGCTTGGCTTTGGTCAGCAGCAGATCCATCTTGGAGCCAGTTGGCATTATCTCTGTTGGACATGGGCAGAAGCTTCTGGCATCTTCACAGAGAATCCACCCCTGTAGCCCCTCCACCCACCCCCCACCTCATCCCCACCCCCCGAAAACCCTGCTATGCAAACCTAATATACCTGGTTTACTTAACATTTGCAGAAAAGGACTTACTGTTATAATCAGTGGCTTAGAGAATCTGTCAGGGAAGATGAAGCTGAAACCATTTGCCTTATGTAGTCCAGCTAAGTGGAAGTCAAGGGAGGAGGATGTGGTCTTTTGTCCAAGACAGCCAGGAGTGACTTTTTTCTCTTACTGCCAGAAAACTGGTTACTTCCATCATCTGCACTCACTAACTGGGGAATGGACCAATCTATGAATCCTTCCCTCTTGTCTGGTCCCTAGCTAAGTTATGTCTTCAGTATTTGATTAGTATCAGATTTGCCCCTAGACAACTCCAGCAAAAGCCTTTATTTTCCAACTAGTGGCACTGGAATGATAAGTTTTAGAGGATTATTTCAAGCTTCTGTAGAGGAGCTCTTCTGGCCTCCAGGCTTCTTTTGTCAAAGGCAAGAAAATCTGGGTCTTTTGCTACTTGTGCAGCCTCACAAGAATTAGTCCTTGCCAGGGAGGTTTCAGTATTGGGGCACCACAATGAGCTGGAACCGTGGTATTTGACATGCCATCACGCTGATGTGGACATGCAAAACCTAGCATAGGCCAGACTAATTGAATGGTTCAGGCTGTCACCTCTGAGTTTGCATGTGTACCAAATCTCAGGCCCACACAGAGGAGCAGAAAGTACAACTTAATGCAAAACAATATTGATCAGGCAGTAGGTTTCCAGATATAGTGTTTGACGTCACATCAGGGCATAAAAACTGAAGGGGAAAAGAACTACTGAGGCTAGTGGAAAGCTAAAGTTGACTTTTAATTTGGAATTTTAATCTATTAAATTATTTTATCTATGAAATTAAAGGCTAATTTTTTTGCTAGATTTTGCTACCTCTTGAGACAAAACTGAAAAATAAAAGACCATAGAGAATTTGGATCATTATGAATTCTCCAACTTTCTTCCTTCTAAGTAACCTTAATTTGCTTATTGTCCTGAGGTTGCTAAGAGGTGTTTTTCTGTGTTGTCACTTAATCTTGGTGTAGTTTCCTTCAAAACATTTGTTATTGTCTTTGTATGACCCTCCAGTAACCACGCCTGCTCCATGGGTGCACACAAAAGGAAACTCTTTTGTCTGTGCTTCAAGTTGGCCAGAAGTGAACTTGTGGCTCTTAATGTCACGCTGTGTCTGAGTTAATAGGCCCATTGGAGACAAGGCAGTATAGCTTCTGAACTGGATTTACTTCCCTCCAGGCTGTGCAGAGTGTGGTGTTCAATCGTCGTGTCTATGGGTGCATGGGTCCGTATAGGTCTGCCCTATGAAGAAAGTGTAGTGTTCGGGCTTGCACTGGAGAACAGTCAGCTTTGTTCTTCCCATTGAAATGCCATTAGTCTGCCTCTGCTCATGTTTCCTAAGCTTTGTCACAGCTGGGAAGCTGTCAGTGTGCAGAACAGGAGGCAGGTTTCAATCCAGCAGCCCACCAGAGCCTTTCCATGCCAGAGATGTGATGGGAATTGCCCGCATGCTTACTTATGCAAGCCACAGAAGCAGAGAGACAGGAGGGATGCTGCCAGAATGTGTTAGATCCATCACAACTGGAAAAGAGTTGAAATTACACTCCGCATTCTGGGGATCGGGGGCTCCAAGTCACCTGCCCAGCCTCGTCCCAGCAAGGCACCTCTGTTTGTACCAGCAAAGACTGGATGCAGCAATGCATGGAGCCCATTTTCACCACCTCACTGAATTTATAGTCCAGTCTTGATAGAAAGACTCAGTCGGGTGAGGTAAAACTTGCCCATTTTATTGTGGAAGGAAACTAAACATGTAAAGTAGGGGTACCTGGATGTGTTATGCAAACAGTCAGACACAGATCCTGAACAGGTATACAGCAGACAAGTTTAGGAAGTTGCTGTTATTATGCGCAACAGACAGAAACAAAAGAAACTGTGTTAGTCCAATGGTCTGGTTTAATTTTTATACGAGTGAAGGTAGCAGTGGATGCATCTGTGGTCAAGTAATGATTTTTTTTATTAAAATGGTGTCGTGGTTCCTCA